AACCACGGCAGCTTATTGTAGAATACTACCTACACTGGACCACCACGTTTGAGATATCTTTTTCAGGTAGTTCAGCCACAACTAACCACGACAACTTATTGTAGAATATACTACCTACACTAGACCACCACGTTTGAGATATCTTTTTCAGGTAGTTCAGACACAAACCACGACAGCTTATTGTAGAATACTACCTTCAGTGGACCACCACGTTTGAGATATCTTTTTCAGATAGTTCAGACACAAACCACGGCAGCTTATTGTAGAATACTACCTACACTGGACCACCACGTTTGAGATATCTTTTTCAGGTAGTTCAGACACAAACCACGACAGCTTAATATTGTATACCTGCATTGGATCACCACTTTTGAGACGTCGAATATACATGCCGAAGTAACCATCGCCTTCTTTTTCCTAGTGTTGGGCCAATTTTTCAACAAAACTAAAACTACTCGCAATGTTGTGATTGGCCAACAGTTTGCATTAGAATGCCCTGCACATTCGTTAACACAACACGTTGTGTACAAGTGGGGAGGTACGGGCAGTGTCACAGGAATATGGTTCTTCGAAGGACGAGCAAATGTTTTGGTCCTTGGTGATGGGCGATTGTTCTTTTCCCACGTGACCAAAGACGACGTGGAATATATTAAACAAACAGGCGGTATCAGTTGTTTACTTCAAGCGACCGATAAGAAGGTCATCAGAGTTGAACAGTCAGGAGTGTTTGAATTAAATGTGACTGGAAGTAAGTTGGATTTTTAAATTTCTCACACTTGATACAGTAACTGCAGGCCGGGGGGCGGATCTAGCCTCATCCGCAAGGAGGGGTGAAAGGTTTTCCATGGGTGCCACTCTCCTCTGCCGTCTGCAACGCTACTATCCCAACTACCATTATTTGAGATGACCGAATCTGCATGTTCGTCGTTCTGTTACGTTTTAAATTCTCGTTTATTTATAAATATCAGCTTTTTATCACATACGTGTGATTGGAAAGTTGCTGCAGCACAGTACAGTAAATGTTCTTGATAAAGTACAGTATATTTGAAAATATAACTATATAACAACCTCCACATGTTTAGTATTTAACCACGACAATTAACTAAAGCATAGCATTTTCTCGTGAGCTCATAAATTAATTAAATCGTTTCAATCGACACGCGGCTAACAGCAGAAGCTGCAGTAATCGCTATTCGAAACGCGGAAGACGTATGGTCAAGCAGATTTTTTAGCGAGGTGCTTGACATCCCCAGGGGCTGCTAGACACCATTAGGTGGGGTGCAAACCCCCATATGTAGACCTGCGGTAGATCCAGCCACTGCAAAGTTAATCATGCCTATCGCCAGGACGGGATAGCGCTTATATTAGAACTTAGAAAAAAAATGCTTGACTAAAAGCTAAAAAAATTTAATATTACTGAAAATCATTATTTTCATCAGATGAAACAAAATCGTTCGGTCCGAATATGGAAACAATTCCTGACGAGGAAGTTGTGGAAGGAAGTACCATGACGCTAAGATGTATTGCGGCAGGATAGTAAGTATTGTTTAATTTAGACGCATCTCAAAGAAACACTTCGAGTTTTGCTATCAAATAATGCACGTTTTCTCCTCGTAAATAATAAATATACCTGTAGACCTTTAGGAAGAATAGTTTACAACTGATAGAGCTTTCCTGAATAAATAAAGTTAGCTTAGTTTGGTTTGGTTTTCCTCCTGTAGTAACACTGGATCAATAAGGGATGATCCTTACTGGACCTCTAGGAAGAACAGTTTAGAACTGATAGAACTATCCGGTATAAATAAAGTTAATTTAGTTAGGTTTCCTCCTGTAGTAACACTGGATCAATAAGAGATGATCCTTACTGGACATATAGAGAGAACAGTTTAGAACTGATAGAACTATCCGGTATAAATAAAGTTAGTTTAGTTTAGGTTTTCTCCTGTGGTAACACTGGATCAATAAGAGATGATCCTTACTGGACATATAGAGAGAACAGTTTAGAACTGATAGAACTATCCGGTATAAATAAAGTTAATTTAGTTTAGGTTTCCTCCTGTAGTAACACTGGATCAATAAGAGATGCTCCTTACTGGACCTCTAGTGAGACCATTTTAGAATAGATGGAGCTATCCAGTTTAAATAAAGTTAGTTTAGTTTAGGTTTCCTCCTGTAGTAACACTGGATCAATAAGAGATGATCCTTACTGGACCTCTAGGGAGAACAGTTTAGAACTGATAGAACTATCCGGTATAAATAAAGTTAATTTAGTTTAGGTTTCCTCCTGTAGTAACACTGGATCAATAAGAGATGATCCTTACTGGACATATAGAGAGAACAGTTTAGAACTGATAGAACTATCCGGTATAAATAAACTAAGTTAGTTTAGTTTAGGTTTCCTCCTGTGGTAACACTGGATCAATAAGAGATGACTCTTACTGGACCTCTAGAAAAAACAGTAAATAAAGTTTGTTCAGTTTAGGTTTCCTCCGGTTAGGAACACTTGACCCTGGGTCCTGGGACTGGATCAAAATTAATTCAGTGCTGGGATCGGATAAAAATTCACCTCAGTTATTTTAAGTAGTGATTTATTCGTATGAGATCCAATTCGAAACTGGACTAGATTTCAAGTCCTCGCATTTTGATCCAGATTGCGCAGATTTGAAATCTAGTCCAGTCCTTATACAGTAGTCGGATTTGAAATATGACTTTTAGAACTGATAGAGCCACCCATTTCACTCAGTCTTAATATAACATTTTGCTTCTATTTTTATCAGTCCAACACCTACATATCGATGGAAGAAAACAGACCTGCTGGGGGTAACAAGCAATGTGTTCGACAAGGTGAACGGCGTGCTGTTGTCAGAAACTAATAAGGTTTTAATTATTAAAAATATCGAGAAATACCGACATGCCGGGACATATACATGTCATGCAACCGTTGAAGATGGCGGGGCTCAGAAAATGGCAAAGGAAAGCAGCAAGGTCACCATAAGAGGTAGGAGAATATGAAGACCTAATCCAACCTACACACGCAAAAAATCTCACATCTTGTAGCAAGTCTGCCAACAAGTCGTCAACAGGTTGTATTCGCACTGCTTGTCCCAATTAAGTTGTCAACAAGTATGAAACAAGCTGTTAACAACTTGTAACAATCAAGTTGATAAGATCAGACTTGTTGCAAGGTTGTTCTAACAAGTCCAGTGCAGTTATGATATAACAATATTGTTACAAAGCTGTGTCGTCAACTTTGTAACGTTCGTGTTATATCATGACTGTATCAGACTTATTAGAACAATCTTGTAACAAGTCTGATAATGCCAACAAGCTTGTTACAACTTGTTAACAGCTAGCTTGTAACAACCACGTTGATATTATCAGACTTGTAATCAGGTTGTTCCAACAAGTTCGTTACAGTCATGATATAACAATATTGTTACAACCTTGTGTCATCAACCTTGTAACATTCTTGTTATATCATGACTGTATCAGCTTCTCAGAATAAGCTTGTAACAAGTGTTATAATGCCATCAACCTTGTTACAAGTTGCTAACAGCTTGTTCCAAACTTGTTACAACAACTGGGGACAAGCAATGCGACATCGACAGCTTGTGAACAGATTTGTAACAACTTGTTTGCAGACATGTAACAACTTGTGCGTTTTTAAGTGTGTAAAAATATATAAAGATGCGTTTTTAGGTGTATAAACACAGTGTATGTTACCCCAAATTATAGAAAAGCCAAAGTGGGTAAACGGAACACTGATCACAAGTAGTACACCCAATATCTCCACTCCACATTCATGGAAATGTATGGCGCGAGGGGATCCAGAGCCTGAGTACAACTGGTATGCCAACACCACCATTATGAACAACGTGAGGTAAGGAGGGATAGCACGGGATAATGTTCTTTGTCAAGTATATTCTCCTGACCAGAAGTGACAGAACTATCATGAACACCACCACCTTCATCATTACCATACCATGGCCAACATCAAGCTTTTTATTGACCTTTATATTTTATACTCGAATGTTCTAGTGGTCGCCATACAATCGAAGGAGGTATCCTGAGAATTCACAGTGTTTCACCCGAAGATGATGGAATGTACCAATGCGTGGCAAAGAATAAGTTTGGATTTGCCTATCAAACTGTTTCTTTGGAAGTCAAAGGTATAAAAAGTAAAATTATAATTAAATTATATTTCTCAGCTTATGTAAATTCATAGACATATTTTAACTTGAAAATCTTGGATGAAGAGCCAAGTGTGATTTTTGGATAGGCCGAATAGATCTTTATTATTATTAGTATCATTATTTATACTGGATAACTCTGTCAGTTCTACATTGTTCTCCCAAGAAGTCCGGTAAATGATGATTTAGTGTTGCTACAGGAGGAAACCTAATCTAAACTAACTTTATTTATACTGAATAACTCTACCAGTTCTAAATAATTTTCCCTAGAGGTCCAGTAACAGTCATCTCTTATTGATCCAGTGTTACTACAGGAGGAAACCTAAACTAAACTAGCATTATTTTTACTGGATTGTTCTATCAGTTCTAAACTTTCATCCGTTCATCTTTTATATTGATGTAGTTTTACAGGAGGAGAAAATCTAAACTAAATTGACTGATATTGGATTAACCTGGTTTCCCTTTCTAGTAAAACTGGATCACTAGCTAAAAGACAATCTTTTAAACTTAGGTGTCCTTTTGCAAGAATCTGGAATAATGATCCTTTAGATAGCAATTTTAGCAGAACTGATACACTCGGCGATGAGATTAACGTACTAACCTCAAATTATTTTTTTCCTTCAGTAAAACCTCCCGAGATAACACGAGCACTTTTCCAAGAAAATTTCGTGGCCAGGAACACCGGATTGATTTTGTGTGTCTCAGATTCCCTCCCTTCGGCCGATCATCACTGGTTGTTCAACGGAGCCAAGCTAGAGACAAACAAGACAGGAAAATACGGGTTGACGCCCAGACAGGACTTGCTCGTTCATCAGTTATCACACAATGATACTGGAACGTACACTTGCGTGGCAACGAATACGTATGGTAGGGCCACAAAGGAAAAGTATATTAAAGTTGGTAAGGAGATAGACTAGAACTAGAACAAGAGTTGCATGAAAGTGGACAAGCGAGAGTTTACATGAGAGTTTTCTCGACTTTCTTTGCTTGATCAAATGAGAACAAGAGTTGATGAGAGCTCAGGGTCTTACATATTAAGACCTTGCATGTGAGCAAAGGTTCTTGGGATATGGCCAGCAAGTAATTGCATATAGGTAACGTAAGTATTGCATATAGGTAACGTGTGCATTTCGTGAATTCGATTGTAACACGTGTATAAGTGTTTTTAAAGACTGCCCACCTGTTTATACTGAAACTTTAGTTTGGGGATACAATATTTATTACAATTTTTATTGATCTGGATAGGATTTTTCGGGTTTTAACCAAGAATTCCCAGTGTAGATCTCAATCAGCAATACATATAATCTTTCCTCTTTAGTTCTACACACTAACTACTGAGTATTGTATATAAAATGAATGCTTCATTTCGTCTAGGCGATGTTTCTACACAAATTGATGCGACAGTAACCTCCAGCAAACCTAAATATTCACAGATAGCAACAAAAACAACTTCGTCTCTAACAGTTACAACAGCAGAACCAAGTATGTTGATAATTAGCTTCTTAAAGTTTATTTTCATTTTGTTTGCATAGATATTTTTATTTGATGCTTGTTATGTTAGTCTGAGTGTATATCCACACCGGGAAAGCTTGAAAAATATGCCTGGCCAGGGTGGGAATCGAACCTACGGCATTTGGAATACTAGCCCAATGCTCGGCCAACTGAGCTACGCGGTTAGTTTCATGATTATCAGATTACATGAATATCGAAGTAACTAGATTCTGTTCAGAATTATCATGCACATACTCGAACCGACCTGACCTGAGTACATTACACCAACACAGAAAAAAGAAAAATTATTTGTACTTATGCCTTTGTTTCAGCAGTAAACCATAGCTTACGGCTAAAAGGTTTAAGCAGTTAGAAGATTTATACAGTGTCAAAGGCCGTGTTGTGTATAGTTTGAGATTTGTTTGATAGAAACGTATTCTGTAATAAACGTAAAGACATAACTGATGATGCTTGTTGAGAAAAGTAACTCAAATTAATGTAAATCAGAAGGATTTTGTGTCAGAAATACATAATCTACAGGCTCTGTCACGGCTATGATTTCTTTGTGTTTTTCTCATAGATTAGTAATAAGAATTACGCAAAATCTCTGTCTTTTCCTTATCTGATTCGTCAGAGTTCTTGGTCAGAGTAAAATACCATTTTACTATTTTATTCAATGTTTTAGAATCAACCGCCAGCACCAGTCCGGAAGAGGAGTGTTCAGACTTCAATAAAGTATTTATTGCTTTATTTTCCATCTCTCTTATTGTCAATGTTGCTCTTGGTATTACTGTGGTGCTTCTGTGGAAGAAAATACAGAGGTCAGTGAAATTTGCTGTGCGGATTATGTACAATCTGGCATTAGCGCATGGGAGAGAAAAAAGTAGGGGGCAACCCAAATTTTTTTGTATTTTGCCCGACTTGGCAAAATTTTTCCCCAGGTCCGGAAAAATTTTTCGAAGAGTATAAATTTTTGCCTACATTTAGATATATTTTAAATTTTCGACTATTTTCTTAAATATTTTTTGCTTTTCAACTTATCCCCCCCCCCCCCTTCCTTAGACAATTCCGTGATAATTCAATTGTTAATATTCATTCCCTTTTTAGAAATCAAGACAAAGATTTTCAAATAAGAGGTAACGTGATAATAAATTTAAAAAATAGCAAAACGTACAAAATTTGCTTTAATTTAAATTAATAGACAACAGATGGGTTTTGCAAGATGACTAATAGAATTCAGGGTTCGACTAATTCCTTTGGAGCCCACCTTTGGAGTGGCGTCCCTTTAAGACGCCAATATTCCGATGGATTATAATCCTCTCTGACAATTCTCAACATTCGACTGACGTTATATCTACACTATATCTAGCAATATTTCATCCCCACAATGTACTGAATGTATACAGCCAATTCAAATGAAAAAGGTTGTCCTTTGCAAACTTTAAACTTTAAACCTAGTAAATTTTAAACTCTAAGCGCGCAAAGCTTAATGGGAGCACAAGCTTCAAGCTTAGTAGTTGCATCATAGTTGTATATTGCAGCTACATGTATTTGTGAAGGGTGAAGGAATTTTTATCGTAAAAAGGTATTTACCAGGTCTCTAAGAAATGGGTGAGTTTAAGGCTTGGAAAGGACAACCTTTTTTGAATTAGCTGTATATATATATCCCATAGAGGAAAAGAGCATATCCTCGCAACCGGTATGATCATAATATAGAAGACATCTTTCACTTCATGATAGTAAAAGTTTCGTTAGAACATCACCTTCACAAAAATCACGGTATTAAGATGGCCCGAATCATCTGCGGTGTAGGAAATGGTGCCTATAATGCTGTTAAATTGGAGTGGTGGTAACACGACAAATCTGAGATGGTTAATTTCGTGTACAGAATATTCATAAGATGCTTGATAAATTTTAGAAATGCAAAATATTGATGAAAACAGCAGAGCAACCACAGGAGATGATATTAGGGCATAATTATGACGACGTAGTGACCGAGAGTGGCATACCCAATGATGTAATTTATGAGGAGTCCTTCCCGTCATTCAGACACAACAATAATGAACGTTTGTCAACAGGTAAATTTGGCAAGGGAGAACAGTTTAGAACTGATAGAGTTATCCAGTATAAATAAAGTTAGTTTAGTTTAGGTTTCCTCCTGTTGTAACACTGGATCAATAAGAGATGATCCTTACTGGACCTCTAGGAAGAACAGTTTAGAACTGATAGAGCTATCCAGTACAAATAAACTTAAGTTAGTTTAGGTTTCCTCCTGTAGTAACACTGGATCAATAAGAGATGATCCTTACTGGATCTCTAGAGAGAACAAGTTACAACTGATAAAACGGCCAGTTATCTAATCAAAAAGAGCATTTGTTTCATTCGTGAAGAATTACCAGGTTGTAACAAATTTTTAAAATTTCAAATGATTTTTAACAGATGAAACAGACTAAATTTTCTAAAGGGGGCGAACTTCCTAAAGTGAGGCGAATTTTCTAGGAATTTCGCTCCCGGAAGGGCGATATTACCAGGATTTCGCCCCACTCGGGGGAGGGGCGAAATTCCTGGGACACCGAAATAAATAAAGTTAGTTAAATTTAGGTTCCTCCTGTAATACCACTGTATCAATAAGAGATTATGCTGATAAAGCTATCCAGCATAAAATGAAATATACATTCTATGCAAAATCAATTCTCGCGCATGTGTCTTTATTTAGGTCATGAATATGAAGAACCATCGAACTATGAGCCTCTGAGGAGAAATCTTTTAGAAGATCAGGCTGATGAACACAACTATCAAAGTCTCATAACATCACAGGAAGGAAACTAGCTTTGTTAGTTTAGTTTAAGAAAAATATGAGGCCCTTACAGGACATTTAGAAAGAACATGAGTTTAGAACTGATAGAGCTACATAGTATAAATAAAGTTAGTTTAGTTTAGGTTTCCTCCTGTAGTAACACTGGAGCAATAAGAGTAACATTACCCTTACTGGATTTCTATAGGAAAAACAGTTTAGAACTTATAGAGCTATCCAGTATAAATAAAGTTAGTTAAGTTTAGGTTTTCTCCTGTAGTAATACTGGATCAATAAGAGATGACCCTTACTGAACCTCTAGGAAGAATAGTTTAGAAATGATAGAGCTATACATAGTATAAATAAAGATAGACAAGTTTAGGTTAGGTTTCCTCCTGTCGTAACACTGGATCAATAAGAGTTTACTCTTATTGAAACTCTAGGAAGAACAGTTTAGAACTGATCAAAACTATTCAGTATAAATAATGTTAGTTAGTTTAGGTTTGCACCTGTGAACTTCTAGGAAGAACAGTTTAGAACTGATAGAGCTATATCCAGTATATTAAAGTTAGTTTATAATTTTAGATATTTATTTGCATGTGACCGCGCTATATTTTGAATTATTCGCAATGGCTAATGCTCGTTTTCAATTTTTATTTCTTCTATTCAATATTCGTTAGTGTCACGTAATGAATAATAAACGTGTTATTGTATTCAGCTTACACAGTATATTCAGAATTGTTCAGACTTCTTTCAAATCTTCGTGTTTGTGTCCGAACTACGTGAACCACAATGACGTTTCGAGTAAAAGCTCTTTGTCAGGAAGTGAGAAAAGATTCGTCGCGCGAAACGTTGAAGTGTTTAAATCGAAATATATTTCTTATGAGCTGAGGGTATGGTCTGGTGGCCACAAGATCTGATGTCATGCTGTTTTACTTTCTTGAAGAAAAAGCGTTTATAAATGCAAATAAAATAAAATGGTTTGTAATAAACAAAATCTCTGTTATGGACTAATTCGTCCTCGACCTTGTACAGAATATTTGAAGAGTTCCTGTTTTCGTCCCCAAGTGGTTACTGGTATTTGATAAATATGTGTTTAAAATACACAGTGGCGTCAGTGTGGGTTATTTGTTTGTCTTTCAAAGTGGTTATGACTGGTTGTGAAGTGGTTTGGGTAAATCGAAATGTTATTGACAGCTTCCGTGTTGGAGAAGATGGTTGTACGAATGATGGAACTGTTTGTACGGATTTCGGTGCAACATGTCGTCAGTCAGATGGTTTGTGCATTTGCACTGGTAATGAACCTAATTTTCGAAAACCTACTAGTAAAGATTATGGCTGTTTAAGCAGTGATAGTGTTCGCGCTGGAATTGGTGAGTGTTTATAGCTAATTTCAAATTTACAACCGAGCATTTAAACTTGTTTCTCAATCTTCCTCTACTATTAAGTGATCTACTAATGTTTTCGACATGATGCACAATATTATTTATACAACGGCTATTCTGAAACACACAAATCTTGACGTAACTACTAGGCCAACTGTGGTAAAGCGATGTTAGGTTTCTGCAATCGAATTCTCCGCAGTAAAATCTGAGTTGAACGAGCGAAGACGTATACGACTCGTATCGATCTGGTACTGCAGAATAGAAGGATTACCCACCCTGGCAACATTCACTGTGAGAGAAAACCTGAGGAGACCCACGGCTTTCGGTAGGGCGTCGAATAACTCTTTTCACATAAGTGTCACAAGTCCGCAGCGAGAATTGATCATATATGATCTTAAACTCAAAAGTGAAAGGCGCTTTCTCTGACGACTGTGTTAGTTATTTTTGGCCAATATTTTGACCTGAATTTTTGTCTCTGTATGAATGGATAGATCTGGTCTATGTTTCTCAAATATCTAGCGAAAATGGACCTCATTATAATTTTATCTAAATGTTCCGGTCAGATAGATCCGAAGCCCAAACGTTTTGTGTCCCATTAAAATATTTGACCGTTCTGACCGTGTTAATGGAAAGCGTCCCCAGAGAAGGAAATTTGTCAATATTTGTCAACTTTTAGTTCATTCTACTCAAATAATCTTATTTCGTATCTCATTTAAATATAGGAAGAAACTTGAACTGTGCATTCCGCCCTTTTCAACTTATACCATACAGCCACCAAGATCCAGCCACGTCATTCAGTGATACAAACCTAGATGTATTGACGAGTTGTTCTTTAACGAAAGCCGTGACAAAGTTTCCAGACAACCCCAACTATATTGATCAGCCATGGTTGAATGAATCTTACGTTGATTTAAAAATCTCTAACGAAAAATTGGATTTTAAGGTATGGAAATCAGAGGTCATGTTTTTTTTTAGTTGTGTTTAAAATTAGTTTGTTTTTCTTTTTCTAGTGGAAAAAATCAGTTCCAACCTTGCAAGGCACTATAATTACGCTAAGTCTCTTCTGTACCCTGAGCTCAAGTAGTTTGACAACAAAATGTCTACGAGCAAAGATTCTTGGGACATGGCCTGCAGGTACACTCGAGGGTACACTGAATCATTGAACTATATGCACTGAATAGATAATGCACATATGCATAGAAGATATATTGAACTCTCCCGTAAATTCCATTGTAACATGTGGGCAACCTCATGTTTATACTGTGAGCCTTGATCAGGTAATTGTGATATGTTTACACTGTTTATATACGTGTGTTTATTATACGTTAAATGTTAAATGCTCAATTTTATCTAGACGCCGTCTCTGTACCAACTAAGCCAACAGTAACCTCCACTAAACAGTCTAAAGACACTAAAACTAAACCTTCACAGATAAAAACAAAAACGACTTCGCCTGTTACAGTGACAACAATAACAACAGCAGAACCAAGTATGTTTTATAATATATATCACCTCTTGATATTTATTTCATTGTATCAATGTATTTATTTTTACGCTTTCACTTCCCCCCAGTCGACCATAGCTTATGTATACGCGGCTAAAAGGATTAGTCAGTTTGCATATTCAGTATTCTTCAATAGTCTTGATTATATTTGATGAAAAAATAGACTTGTGAAGCTCATTAATAATTCATGAAAAAAACCACAAAGGAAGTATACCTGATACAACACGGCCGCTCATATTGTACATAGTATACTTAAAAGTTTATGTAATTCAGAAACATTTTGTGTTATATATCAAGTATCCTTCACAGGATTGATTATGTTCTCTCATCAATTATTAATGTCAATTACAAAGATCTTAGACATTTCACGTCCAAATACAAGCTATTGGTCTGAGTAACACAACAAATAAATTGAGCACACTATATCGTCAGACAATATCATCAGACAATCTTATATCTTCAACAATAATACAACATAGAATTGGTTGGAAACATTAACTATACTATTCAATGTTTTAGAATCAACCGCCAGCGCTAGGTCAGACGACGACTCGAACGTCTCAAACAAGATATTTATTGCTTTGTTT